TCTTAAAAGTCAAAAAGTCGGCCACGACGACGATGATTTACAAATTACCCCTTAAACCACTTTCTCTACCCTCTCATCACCATTTGATTACAAGACTATTTTATCCATTTCAGTTATTGCCACCCTAGACAATGATGTCCACATTCAAAAGGGGTTCTCTTCCTTCTTCCTTTTGGTTTTCCTCTCATAATTAAATATTTCCTATTGTCTGACCCATCCTCCCCAAATATTGCCATTCACTTTTCTTTTATCGTATCTCTCCGCAAGAATTTTCCTCTCCATTTTGATTTTTCCCACAAATAAATGCACATACTCTATCGTTTGTCTGACCTCTCCACCACAAATCTTGGCCTCCCTTCCCACTCCACCCCAAGACTCTGCCAAGTTGTCCACTCCCTTTAGGTTTTTGCCGCGCGATCCCCCAACATGCCCTCTTCCTTTTGGTTTTACCAGACCCCCACCACCCCACGACGTTTTTTTCCAGAGAAGAGAAAAGGGAGAGAGAAGAGGTAGGGAAGGAGAGGGAGGAGGAGTAGGACGCCCGCGACATCAATTTTTCCCTCTCCTCCTACAGGTACAGGTTGGTCAGCTTTTACCGCACTAACTCGCGCTAAAGGTTTGAGCTTTGTCCAGCCGGTCAAAAGGATTTGACCTTAAGGCAAAACTAATCAAAAGGATTTGACTTAAAAGTCAAAAAGTCGCCCGCGACACCCCCGCACCTATGACTACTGCGGCTTGGTATCTGGATTGGATTAAACGAATTAATGGAGACTCGATTTACATGACAGATGGAAGGATAATTTTTTGCAGGGCCTGTATGCAACATGTAATTGCACTTAAAATTGTTTTTAAATAGGGACCTTGTCTAGTTTAGGCCCACACCTTCATTCTGACCCCCCATTAATCACACGTCAAAGATGGCCAAAGTAACCTTGTTTGAATCGACGAAAAACAAAACCTCGGGAGGGTAGGCCAAGTACACCAAGGCCTTGTTTCTTCACAATTCAGAATTATCGAATCCGGGCCGCCCCTGGGTGTTTGCGCACGTTTCCCATTGGAGTCAACGGTTGTGTACCTAACCTAGATAATGAGGAGTTTCTATTAAGGTCCCTAAACGTTTCTATTAAGGTCCCTTCAGCCAAATTTTTCCAATTAAATCAACACAACCAAACAACTAAACATCGTCTAAATTCGGAAAGGTTGGCTAATGAAGGAGGTGTTGACCAACAAAATTTTATGGAGCAAGGGACTAGTTCTGGGTCTAATGAGTTAAATATGGATTTGGTTGGAGAACAACCGTGAGTTTAGAAATTTTATTTTGACAATGTTTTTCTAACGAAATTCGATTTAATTGCCATATCGATTGTATGGCATCCAAAAAATATCAAGCTGGCTGTGCGTTACCAAACAATATCATGAAGATATCCAAAATTTAATAACTATCTTAACTTAAAAATATGATAATAAGCAAACTTTAAATTTTTTCGTTACTTAGGTTCTATTTTAATCCGCTCGACAAACTCTTAAACATTCCGTCATATCTCTTTAGGTTTTTATTTCCTTGAAAGTCTAATCCTTTCCTTTCATCTCGTGACTTTCTTAAGATTAAATTCAGGGCTAGTATATAATGTAAACGTGGTTGCTGTTAAAATTATCATTGTTGTTGGTCATTTAACCAGCAGCCAAGCTTACCTAAAGCCCTTCAGGATCTTTTTCATCTCATATTCGATGATGACGGGTAAGAGTTATACCTAAGAGAAAAGTTCTATTAATCTACTCAAAAAAATTATTTCTCAATTTTAGGACCATATTTTTATTCATTTTTATTCCTTAACAGCATTATGGACGAATACTCTAAAATATTCTTCTTGAAAGCCGTTTTTCAACATAAAGATATTCTTTTCGAGCCCTACACAGGAAGACAATCTTGGGAAATTAAAGACAAAATGTGGCAGCAAATATTTAATGAATGTGTAAATGCGGGGTGTAGAGGGTTGGTGGATGCTGAACATTTGAGAAAAATTACTTGGCAAAACTTGCAACGGAGAAGTAAAGAAAAGTATGACAAAAGCAAGAAGGTTCCAGAAGGGACTGTGAAGTTTTCTAAGGTGTGGGGATTTTACAATAATTTTTGGGGAAGCTCGTGGTAACAGAAACAAGACTGGGAGTATTCCATAATAGAATAGACAGATATCTCGAAAGATCTCTATAACCTATATTTTTATTCGAGATCTCGTCTCAGTCCGGTCTCCAGTTAAAAGGATTAACAATGATTTTTTAAAACTAGCTCTGAGGATGTCCTTAATATGGGGAAATGAATCAAAAACATGTCTTTAAGACGCGGGAATAATTTTGGGGATTTTCAGACTGAAACACCAAATGACCTTTAAAAATGTTTCGTCTATTATTTGTCTATTCATTTTTATCAATTCAGATTGATGAACTTGTCCTCGACATTATTGGAAGAGACAGTGGGAAACTCAACGGAACTGATTTTATTGTTAATCATCAACCTTTATTTACTGGAGAAACAACGAGTACTTTTGATGAAACGTTAAATATGGTTGCTAAAGTGAATTTTAATTTAGAGAATACTTGGGGCCTCATTATAAATGCTCCCTTGGGACTCAAATAAGGACACGGGTCAAGTCCATAAATGGGCCATCCTATAGACATACTTAAACTCCGCCCACTTAGACTTATCCCATAGCGTTGAGTCAAGGCGATCTATTTTTTTGCTAGAAGATATCTAACATCCAAAAATAAAACGAACATGAATTTGGAATAAAAACTATTCGACAGGTCTTTTAATCTTAATAAGTGACAGTAATACATAAAAATTATACCGAGCATCTAGTGGAAATTCCTTCTGTCCACAAGTTAATTACTCCCCCCTCCAACTTTAAGCACTTCAAGGCGATACGTCCCCTAAGAACAGCACCTAGGCAACTCCCTCCTCCTCCCTTCAGGCCAGCCAAAATTTAAAAACATACATTAAAATTGAGTGTATATCAGGGATGGGAGAGGGGGTTTATCAAATAGAGCATCTCATCCCTTATGTACCTAACTTTGGATTTCTATAATAAGGTCTTATTCTACGATCTAATCGAATTTTAAATTAAAGGAAGAAGCAATTTCCAACCCTCCATCTCCAGTAAATCAAACAATTCCATTAGAATTATCAATAAGTGGAAATAAAAGGAAAACTCCACAAAAACGAATCGAATTTTCAGACGAACTCGAAGAATTGAAGAAAAGAAAAATCTGTGCGGAAATAGTTAAACTTGAAGCTGAGGCGAGGCTTATTAATGCAGAGGCGGAAATGAAAGAATTGGAGGTTGAGGAAAAGAAAATGCAATTTTATAATAGACAATGAGACACTTTTTTGTTATTTTTATGGATTTTAGCTTGTAAAATGGTACAAAGTTTTTTTAGACCCCACTGTAACATTCAAATATTATGATAAATTAGAGAAAAATAGTTGAAAAGAAGGTATGAACGATACTGAAAAATTAATTGTTAGAGTGATCTAACATCCAAAAAATTACGACACCCGTTGTGGCAAAGATATACATGCTATTGGATTCAGTTCTCGTATTAACATGAGTATAAAATTCAAAAATTTTATAAGGAGCAGATACTAAAAAATATGATAAATTAGAGAAAAATAGTTAACTAGAAGGTATGAACCAGGGTTGCCGCGGGACAAAAAATCTTCGGGTACGGGTTTCGGGTTGGAAAATTTTCTTTTCAAGTATCGGGTTTTGGGTACAAAAAAAGGCCGGGTATCAGGTTCTGGGCAGCAACCCTGATATGAACTACATATACTGAAAAATTAATTGTTAGAGAGTGATCTAACATCCAAAAAGTTACGAAGCCGCTTCGAAAAAGATAACATCTACTGAATTCAGTTCTGGTTTTAATATGAGCATAAAATTCAAAAATTTTATAAGGAGCAGAGACTAAAAATATGATAAATTAGAGAAAAATAGTTAAACAGACGGGCAACAAAGATAATGAAAAAATAATTGTTAGGAAATAACATCCAAATAGACAGCAGAAAAATGCCTAGTCCTAACGTCTATACTGATAGAAACAATTGTAAACAATTAAAATATTTTTATTAAAATTTGTTAGCTGAAGAGCCAACATCCAAAAATAAATACTTCAAAAGAATGGTAAGTTATGATTCGAACTTTGCCTAGATACTTATAACAAAATATAAGAAATAAAAACTATTGAGTGTGTCTCAACTTGATTTACCTTAAATGAATGAATTATAATATTTTTCGTACACAAAAATTAACAAAATAAATTAAAAATAATAAAGTCGGATCTGATTTTAAGATAACACTGTGTTAAATTATCGAAGCATATCTATCGCAAAGCCAAGACTAACCGTGTTTGTTAGTTGCCTCTATAATGCCACAGAAATTAACAAAATAAATCAAAATAAGGCTCCTGCACTCCCTCCACTCACTTCCCGACCAAGTTTAAAATCTTAGATTTTGATGTCTCTACTATCGGGATATAAATATTATCTGACACAAAGGAAGCTGAACATAAATGTTCTTATATCATATGTTTGTTAGAGTTAAATCTAACATCCAAAAAAATAACAAAAGAGTCGAGGTACCCGCTTATAAATGAATCTTTGCCTAGATACTTAAAACAAAATATATTGAATAAAAATTATTAAGCACGCTAAAGCGGTTGACCTTCCCGACTGGAAAATAACATTTTACACATTGAATACGACAAAAGAATAAAGTCGAACCTCAATTCTATTTGACACTTTCGAATCAGAAAATGGCGTACATTATAAGCTGTATATTAACTAGAAGGTATCGCTTAAAAAAGGAATTGCTTAAATGGCCGTCTCTGCGACCGACCAAATTTAAAAAGCTCTTAAAATGAGTTGTCTCTTAAATTAGGGTGTCTCCTTTATCGGAAGTATCTAAAAAGGAGGCTCGACCTTATCTTCAAATAAAAATACCCACCCATTTAAATAAGCAACAATAGCAGAATTGCTTCTCTGTGCAGGATAAACACCACTACTTGTATTTGTCATTTTTCCACTTGAAAAGATTGGAGGTGTTCCTGTAGAATTATTATTAGTAGCAGATTGCATTGCAGCATACGCACCCAAACTAGCGGCACTGCAAGAAGTTGTTAATATTGTACGTTGTTTTGAATCTGGACCTGTTTAAATTTGAAATTAAAGTTGATAGAAAAAAATCTTTGGAGGAGTTGCAAATCTGGTTATCTTTTTTGACTCCCCAAATGCCAGTCAATAGCTTTTATTTATTTGTCAGATGAAACAGCTGACATCCAAAAAATATACGATCAATCGACAAAAAGAACTCGTTTATGGTCAGTGAGGGAAATTTACGTTAATAAAATTAAAATAGAAAATAAGGAGAAGAATAGGGATCTGTTCGGTTTAATATGAAAACACCTTTCAATGATTAATAACAACGTTGTTTAAGTAACGAAAGTTTCGGTAAAATTTATAAGAGGAATCTACCCATTTTGGATCAAAATGGAATAAAAATAACTTTTCGCTAGACAATGTCTAACCTCCAAAAAATAAAAGCTGAAAAGCAATTCTAATGGAATAGAAAATTATGAGAATAAAAAAGAAAGTCGAACCAAAAATTCAGCTAAAAGATACACGCTGAATCAATCTTAGCCGAGTTGGCTAAAATGCAAATCAGAGGAATGCAAATGCATCTCATATTTTGCTAAGAATTTTTAAGAATTACCTGCTGAAGCAATATCTTGAACGATTCTTAAAGCCTGCTCATTTGCATTGATCAACGCCTTCAACTGAGTTGGATTTTCATTGTGAATCTAAAAAATGATTGAAATTGATGAATTAAACTCTTAATTTTCTCTCAATTAGGCTCCCATTAATTTAAAGGATACCCACAGTTTATGAATCCGATATAATTATTTAAAGCCGTCTAAAAATCGTGGTTTGAAATCAAGATTTTTCTTGTGAATTTTTCTTTGGTTCTTTTTCTCTGTCTTGACAGCCCTTCATTATTCGTGCCTATTCGTTATTCATTTATTCACTCTTGTGATAACTGCTATTCTGTTATCCGATGTTTTGTGTTATTCTGTTATTCAATAAGCAAGACCACCCCCTAGGAATCGTATAGTAAGTGCCGACTTTAAATTAGAAAATTTGAAAACTTACAAAATGGCAGCGAGGCCCATATGGACAATAACCTTAAACATTAAAATATTATTTTTAAAAAAAATTTTGTCTTTAAATCAGTAATGACAAGTAATTTTAGGTCAAATATTTTTTAAATTTACCCGTTTTGTGATAAGACTGGCATGGCTCTGTTTTGTACTTTGGATGTCTTGGAACTGGCCGTTTTTCTCTGTCTCCGTGGGCATATTGACACCTTTAAAATAAGAAACAGAATGAAAGCCTTAAGAACGAAAGCTTAATCAGAAAGGAAATTAATTTTTGTCAAAGCAAAGCAATGACAGTCAAAAATAACATTGCAACAGTTCGGCATGGTATTTTAAAATTTTCAATGCTTAACTAAAATAGAATTTAAAACAGAATAAAATATACTATGTAAATAAAAGATTTATTAAAATCTTTTCTCTAAATTCTTAATCTCTAAAAAGTGAGATGTAAGGAAAGAAAATAGTTGAAAGAAATTTAAGTTTCCACCCTTTATCAATTTACAAATTGACATCCAAAAATAGACACACCTTCTCCGAACAACAAACTGTTTAAATTTAAATTTCAAGACTTTTTTAAATTTAAAATAAAATAAAATCAATAAGTTGTAGATAGGCATTATTCAAGTATGTGGCTGTAGTGTATTGTACCGGTGGTAAAAGTTTGGGACGTGACATATGTCATTTGATTTGTCTCGGCGAACTGATTCGTACGGATCCCTCACTACCTGAGGAAATGATTCTTGACCGAGTTATAGATCCTCCCCCTGTAACTCGGTCCAGAACCATTTCCTAAAGTAGTGAGTGGAATGACATATGTCACGTCATGAACTTTTACCGCCGATACACTACACTATATCCAATTATGATTATCTCTTATAGTTGGTTCCAAGCATATTTATAGAAATCCTGATATTTCCAGCATAAAACTGAGAATCGAAAAGCAACACGAAAATATTGGCTTTTCATTCGACTGGGAGCCTTTTAAGCCTTCACTCTTTTACAGGATCTTGAAGAGTTTCTGTTTATAAATTTTCTAGTTATAATTTATTTTATTTTAAATTTTATATTAGTTGTTATTGCTTCCTAAAAATTAATATCAATGTAATCTTTTTCATAATTTTTTGGATGTCATTGCAGTGCTTTGACAAAAATAAAACTAACTATTTATCGTAAACCCTATGTTACACTAATATACTCTCGTAGAGTTGCACAAGAACAAATCTATTCATACAAATGTTTTTTTGGCATTTTACAATGTTCAGAAACAAGGTAGCAACTCAGTAAAGTTCCCATTTTATTATATTTTTTGTCAATTTACAACTTGACATCCAAAAATTAACAAAAAGAAGACCACCAAGAATCAACAAGAACAACCAAGCAAGTCATTCTTATTTACCTATATTTTTTTCAGTTTTCAAATAAACTAAAATTAATATGGTGTAGAATGTTTTAATAGATTGGAGATTCATAAGGAAGAAAATGGACGCGAGATGAGTAACCAAAATCGGCCACCGGGCTTAAACAGACAAGCGAGATAAGGAGGTTTAAAATGGTCAACGTAAACCTACAGGTTACTTAAGATTGTCCAATTAAGTCGGATTTTGTTGATTTGGGTATCGTTCGACACAGTTGGAAAAACTTTTTGGGATGATAGTACCCGAAATATTTATAAAGTGATGATGTTTTAGGATAATAGATAAATCTGCTACTTATAATTAATTCAATTTTAAATTCTATTTTAGTTAACGCTTTTTAAATTTTAGTGGCTTAAAAAAATATCATCATTAATTTTTTGAATGTCATTGCAATGCTTTGACAAGTACGCTGTCTTTTAAGATTTTTTGATAGTTTCGCTTAGTATATCAAAAAATAATTTCTCGTAAAATATGACTATACCTCTCCCCATAATTGCATCTACCAGTCTCCATCCAACTGCGACACAGTTCTGTCTTGTAAAGCTTTGGATTCTTTTGTTGTACCTGAAAATGAGAGTAAATTTATTTTTAAAAAGAGATTGGATTTCTTTATCTGGGCTTAATCCCGATCCTACAAACATTTTCTCATTTAAAGGAGTGGAAGAAGATTCTCTGATTTGAAGGCTATGTAATTTACATAGTTTTAGATTGAAACGTATGTGATTTTACAAATTTTTAACTACTAAAGACATAAAAACTGAAACAACTTTACAGTAAAAGTAATGTTGGCTGAATTTGTATATTTTTGTATGTTACCTATTTATGGTGACAGATACGCATGAAAATTACTGAACCATCAGATTGTTCGAATTTCTTGACAAATTTTTATGTAAAAATCAAAAAATTATTGCCGTGATTATGATCTAGGATTCATGTCCTAATCATTTCTAGTTTAAACTAGAGTTGTACCCCGACACTTGAAAAGATATTCTTTAAGTATAACCGTTACTCCTTATATGTAATTTATTTCATTTTCTGTTTTTAATTAGAAATAGAAAAGAATTTTTTGCCTTATGATTGTACGAGCGATTCTCTTATTTTTTGGATGCTGCTTTAAATGCCGGCAAAAAGAACTTTATTAAGAATGGGGTATCATTATAGTATAATGAGGTGGTCAAATTCAGAGTATTTCTAATACTAGAGTAGATTTCTAATACTTTGTTCGGAATAGTCAAATTCTGAACACCCTGGTATGCTTCGATCCGTCTCGACAAGCTGAATTGAACCATAGAAGGGTGTTCCCGATTTGATAATTAACCCAGTTATAGCTAAGCGTTATAGTGAGCTTGTGGTACAGGGCTGGGCGAAATCTAAGAATAAAAAGCGAAATGCGAAACTTTTCGCGCCAAAAATGCGAGAATGCGAAACGCGAAAGTGCGAAATAAGCCCAGCCCTGTTGTGGTACTTCTTTAAGGAATATCCCTCTCCCTATAATTTAACCTCAGTTTATGATATTTTCCTTACAATTCTCCTTATAATTTATAAGATTTAATATCTGATTTGAAATAGAAAAAAATATTTCTAGACGGTCATATTGTATTGAAGGGTTTTATTTTTTGGATGCTGCATTGAATGCCGGCAAAAAGACTCTTCTAATAAGCATCAAATTGAGAGACTGACGTAATTTCAGGTTGTGTTGTCCAGAGGTTGAAGAAGGTTTTATAGACGCTATACTTACTTAAGACACTATAAAATTATCTGGTTTGAATTGGACCTCTTCATTATCAGGGCCACTTATATTAGTCTCAACGGGGTACCTATAACGGGTTGTACACGAAACCTTATTTTCCTACGCGAATTCGAAATCCGGTCCGAGGAAAAGTCTCCCTATAATTTTTAACATTTAAAATATTATTTGAATTAGAAAATGTATTTCAATTGTTACGTCAGCTCTTTGTATGGAATTATTTTTTGGATGCTGCATTGAATTGCGGCAAAAAAGTTTAAAAAACGCTTAAACTATTATCACATTTAAGTTGACAGAAATGTTTGTTTAGTTTATTGAGCCTCATAGTTTTATTTGTAAGACTTAAATTAATAAAGCCGTAACACGATAAGATAGCTATCGAATAGAATTGCTTAAATTCTTCTTATAATTTATTACATTTAAGTTTGGCTTTAACTAGCAAAGAATTTTTTGCATTGTCTCTCCTCAGGGTACCTAGCTTATTTTTTGGATGCTGCATTGAATGCCAGCAAAAAATGGTCTAATAAATTTGTTAAACTATAATTAAAGTGAGAGGTATTATTAAACAAGTAGAGCTAAAATAATAGTATTTCCTGAATAAATCACTTCGATTTGCTAAACTAAAAGTTAGCTTACACAGGGTTCTCATTCGTACTTATTTTGGAAGTACATTACTTATAATCGACCCTCGTCTTATGAAATCCAAATGTATGTACTTATTTACAGCCGTGGATTGGACGCATAAACTAGACCAGCACCGTTTTTTGTTTTGAAAAAGCTCCATTGGAAGGATAATTCACAAATAATGTTTGAAACGTATGTGATTTTACAAATTTAAATTAGTAAAAAGATTCTTAAAGAAAACAAAGTTAAATTGGTGTTCTTATAAACAAGTTGTGTATTTTTGTATGTTACCTATTTATGGTGACAGAAACGTCATATCGACTATATTTGTTTGATTATCTTATCCCATTTTGGTAGTCAAAAAATTCTGAATTTACATAAATAAAACCGAATGTATGACTAACTCTTTTACTACTTTTCAAAAAAAAATTTTTTAGAGAACTAGAGCGGAAAATTTTCACAAGATTAATTTCAACCTACTCTAGAATTAGCATTAGGCGTAGACGAATTGCTGTTGTTAGCCACCGGAGTTGTCGGCGTCGCCTCACCCCCATTGTTGTCTACATTATTATCAATTATGGCTGGTTTAATAGTACTATTAGAAGCATTTCTAGTTAAAAAATCTGGAGATAAATTATTATTAGTGTTGCCAATATTAATTGGTGTGGAGGCCGTCAAAATCTTTACTTCGTTGAAAACGGACATTTTTGATTCCAAAATTTTTATTTAATTTATTTTTGAAGTATTTTGATCAAAATAATGGAGAGATTCTGTTTTGTCAAATAATTAATTTTGTTGTTTTTGAAAAATGCATTAAATAAATTAATTTATTTAATTAAATTGGTTATAGTACATGACTACTGAAATGAAAAAATAAAATTTTTAGAAAAATTGTGGGAGCGAGTAAAAAACACAACGCTTGCAAAATATAATGTATTAAATTATATGTAAGTTATATAAAACTAGAGTTAAGGTCGTTCATATATCATTTAGTGGGGTAATTTTATTTTTTGAATGTTAGCAGGAAGCTGACAAAATCCGACAACGGGAAGATAGAGAAACACAAAAAATTCAAGGGGGGTTATAATTTCTTGAAATTTTAGACTGTAAAATTTTAGAAAATTGTGGGAGCGATAAAAGATCCGCGATTTCTACAAAATATAATTTAGTAAATTATTAGTTGTATAAGATTATATTCTAAAATGATTATCTGTTGTTCATTTGGCATGTTGATCATAATTTTTTGGATGTTGCAGAAAGCCAACAAAATAATGTCTATGCTAAAAAGTCTATGGTTTTTTAATTTTCGGGCATATAAAAGTACCTAGGTTCAGATAAGGCCACTAGGTTTCGACCAAGAAGAAAAAAGGGAATATAAATGAGTAGGAGGGAATATAAATGAGTAGTACATTAATGACACTTGCGGTTAAAAACCCAAATAATAAAATCAGAAAATTATTAATAAATGCTTGGATAATGTTTAATAAATAGTATTTAATTTATAAAATTACAAAAAGTCTCGTCAAAATTACAGTTATATAATTTTATTCATCAAACAATGAGTTATTTTTGCAAGTCAGTATCAAACTGGCAAATAAATTTGCTTTTTAAAATATTATAAATTTATTTGTGGGAATGATTCTTCTATCTTGAACACGATTATTAAATATCCTTACGCTTCGCCTTTTAAAATGCGGGAGCCAACTCTTATGCCCGTCCCCAACTCTCTTATTTTTTCTTTCTCGAATGACATTTCTCGAATGCCAATCATCATCCTTATAAATTATTTCAATTATTTTGTATCATATTCGAGATATTTTCGAGATATGGTATCAATATCCGCAGTTTGTGTTTTATTTTTGGATGTCGCATCAAAGCCGACAAATAAATAAACGAAAAGTCTAGTGCATTGTAATTTCGACAGAAGTGAATTGGATGGACATCAAGTTAAATAGAAAATGAGTAATTTGGGCAGTTGGTTATTTATTGAGATTTTCTCGAGATATCGATCTTGATTCTAGAATAACAGTCCCAGTTCGGTTTCTAATTAAGGCAACTTATAGCTGAACATAACTTCATGGGTAACCCTCCACCCGGGCTGACCGAAATAAAATTTTTTATTTCGAAGTTGATATTTTTGCAAAGTTGATATTTTTTGGATGTAGCTTATAAGATGGCAAATATATGAAGAGTTAGATATTTGTGGTCCTTATCCCGAAAGATAATTTGGCTATATATAATATATTAAATTAAAAGGAATATAAGAGCAGTTAAAGATTCGTTCAGAATGTAGAATCGCCATGACGTATGATATATTTTTTGGATGTTAGCAAAGCTAATAAGCAGTTTACAAGTGATAGTTGCATTGAAAATAAGCAAACGTACAAAAATCTTGTAAATATCTGTTAAATAAGATTTCTGAAAATTTTGTTCGATAAAATTTCCGGAAAATTTAGATATACGAAAGGAAATAAGTTATAGTTAACACAATAATTTTGTCCCGCTGACATGAGTTATTTTTGGATGTCATACTATTAAACGGCCAAACCAATTTGCTTTTTAAAATACCTTAAATTGATTTGTGGGAGATGATTCTTCTAAGTATCGAACTCGATTATTAATATTGAAATAACGGGGAAAGTGGCAGAATATAATCACATTTTAAAGAGATTATACATACCTTAACTCGATAAACTTAATTAAGGGAGTGGTTCAAATTGTAGGGGTATTATTTACGAAAAACGGGTAATCATCCTCCCTATAATCTATTACATTTATTCTGTATTAAAGATGGAGATATTTTTAGAGTTAAGGATGTAGATGTCGTCTGTATGATTCGTTTTATTTTTGGATGTCGCATCGAAAGCCGACAAAATATAGACAAAATGTTACTTAATTTGTAGGTGTTAAAAGTAGAGATAAGATTTTAGGTTTTTCCTATTAAAGACACCCAATATTAGTGTACAATTTGAGATGCGGTGGAAAATTTAACATAGTAAGAGTAACTATGCTAAAAGCAATAAGGTAATGACCAAATGTTCCTTATAGTTTATTACATTTATTTGTAATTAAGTAGAGCTTACTGTTAGGGTTAGGAGTCAAAAGGGCCGTTGAATGTATTTTTTTGGATGCCGCTTCAGAGTCGGCAAAAACAAAACAATGCTAACGTTAATGTGTTGGATATGAGTAACATAAAAACTTCAAACTAAAAACTGAAGAAAATCTTTAAATATTTTGATTTATACTAGAACTGTCCAAGACTTTTACCCCAGTATCTTAACTCAAGACTTTTCTTGGTTTTTCAATCTTCGTCTTAGTGTAAAGTCTTTGTCTCGAGTCTTGATTATGGAAAATTTTCGGTTTTGGACAGCTCTGCACATTATAATATGTTTAATTAAATGAATGAGAAAAACAATTGAATTTAGAACTCTACGATGATCTAAATTTCGAAATTTATTTTTTGAATGCTAGACGTTGCTCTAGCAAATGAAAGTTTTTTGCCTTGTATTTAATCTGTATTTTAATTAGAGACAAGATAATCTAGATTTTTGTTGGAGATATCGTTTCGAACCGGTCTCTTATTTTAATGACATTTCGTGCATTAATAAAAACAGGATTTAGTGAATATTTTTTGCTGGTATTCGATACAGCATCCAAAAAATAAACTCCCTTATACTCAACGAATGACATATTAAAAAAAGGCCGTTTCTAATTAGAATAAACAGTAAATGTAAGAAATTATATGGAGAGTGGATTATACTATAAAGAACATATTTAGGTATATTCAATAAATAAAGTTTATCGGCAACGTGGTCAGGGAGTCACTTACATGGAAAATTTAAAATGAAAAAAACAATACAGTTAATGTGTGTGTATTAAGAAGATCATTTGATCATTAGGAAGGTTCGCTTTTGATTTGAATTTATTAAAAGCAATACTGAAAATAAAAGCAAAACCTTTCTTATAATCTATTACATTTATTTTGTTTTAAATTGTAAAAGCTTAAGGCGTCGGAAGCTACTTCGGTTTAGACGCAGGTGTTTATTTTTTGGATGCCGCTCGAAAGCCGACAAAAAATAATAAAAGGTTAGCGTATTAGTTATGATTAACATAAAAGTTTCGAAGCACCCGTATTAGATACATTCCAATTCTGGATTTGATTGTCCTGTGCTAAGGACAGAAAAAGAGACACGAGAGACCTCCTACTAGAAACACCCCTCGTTATAACTGCAATTTTAGGCCTTATAGGTGGACGTTTATAATAAGGCCCGCCATCAAATGTTTATGTTATACCATGTGGTCAATTATGTATTTACAAAATAAATTATAAAAGGAAGACATAAACAAATAAATAACCAATTTCAAAATAATTGAAGGAATATTGGACAAAAAAGTGAATAAAAATTAAAATAAAACAAATTTCCTTCATTTTTAAAAAATTTAATATATTAAGCAAATAATATAAAAATAACTATTGTTCAGAAAAAAAAGTAAAAGTGCATTCCTTTCAATTTTAATTTGACGAAGAGAAAAAAGAAATTTTTTAGAAAAATGAAAAGAGGCAAAAAAAGAAAAGCAAAAATCAACTTCAATATATAAATACATTTGTACTTTTAAAAAATACGGAAGAAATATGAGAAGAAGAAAAACGAAGGGAGTAATAGTTAGAGATGGGCGAGGTTTTTGAAAAAAATCGAGGTCGAGATCGAGGGCAAATTTGGACACGAGACTAGGTCTCGGTAAGGTTTCAAGTGAGGAACGAGACTCCGAAACTAGTCATGATCGAAACTCGAGACCTCGAGAAAGACCTCGTGCTTGGCAAGACCCCGACCTCGGCCAATTTTAGTAGTGTTTTACTTAGTATTGCACAAAAATAAAATTGTCGGGCAGGCAGACAAACAAATGGTGAAAAAATGAAAAAAATGGGGAAATGAATGAAAGGGGAAAGGAGGTAAAAAATAAAAGAATGAGGGAGCTGAAGACGGAATGTAAATGTGTGTAAAATGAAAGAATGTCTGGGAAGACGTTAGAGTATATGGAGGGAATTTTTTCGGGGGAAGGAGGGAATCAGGGGTGGAATTTTAAATAACTCAGTTAACTCAATTCTCAAACGATTTTCATAAGACACTCCCAGTCAGGTATGTCAGCATGTGAAAAACATTTTCCGCTGTCCGCAATCCGACATTGCGGACAGGCCTGCTCCCAGTTTTGGTTCTAGTGTTTACTCTTGGGGTGAAAATTTTATCCTATACATATTGAGCCGTATTCTATATAGAGGGTTTCGCTTTGGAAGCGTCTCCAAACAGTGACCATCAAATTACTTAGGAACGTATGTGGATTAAATGAGAGGGCAATCTAAAAGTTACTCGGGATATATTAGAGACAGAGCCGGGACGATCAACTTTCTAACATAACAAAACATATGATGACTTTACAGAATTTTCTGTCAATGCAAGCATGACATCCAAAAATACTCAAGGACCAACAGAAGGCCAGAGAAGTTGTTAACATTGTAAGATATTTAAATATGTACAAATTAAAATGTAAAAAGTAATACATATTAAACACAGTATTTGTATCTACATTAGGTAGGTAACCCGACCCAATGATTTTTAGGCACAAAACCTGATCCGAACTGCTAAGGCGTAAAAGCTAAAACAGACCCAATCCCTAACACTCACGACTTCGAAGGGTCGTGTTGCCACCCTAAATTAAACATAATCTTATTGATAGCAGATCTATAACTACAAAAATATATGGGCTAGTACTCATTTGTCAGTGAACATTATAATTTATTTAATTAAACGAACTAGAAAACAATTAAATTTATGACACGAATCGAAAATTAAAAAATATGCATGTAATTTTTTGGATGCTAGCCTTCAATCTAGCAAATGTGTTTACCTTGAATAACGAAAATTCTCTAATATAAGCACACCCTACAAGAGGGTTAAAAAATAGAAGGCTTCAATTAGAGAATTTATGGTATGAAACCCAAGGGCATACACCTAAAGTGTGTAGGGCATACACCTAAATTTATGGTATGAAACCCAAGGGCATACACCTAAAGGAGGACATAGTTTAATAGTATTTGTCATGTATAGCAATGACATCCAAAAAAATTAAAAAAAGATGGAAGAAGCTTGAAATAATAAATAAAGTTAATGTTAAAATAATGTGTAAATGAATTTTATGATAAGAAGCATTAAATATTTTGCCAAAAATTTAATAACGAAAAATTGCACCTAATAATTTAAAAATTAAAAGCATTAGAAAAACAATTACTAAATGTTGAGGTTGTTCAAGATTCGAGCGAGCTCTTAATTTTTTGGATGTTAGCTAATATGCTAGCAATAAGTTTGTTATAGGGAATAAAGAATTTATTTTTATGTCGGCAGATTCCCTGTTATCGATACACAAGCCTATTAATTTTTTTACTTTTGTTTAGTTTTACTTTTGTTGAGATACATAGAAATTTTTAATGAAGTGGCAGATCATAATGTGTTCCCCTCCCATTTTACCTAAACTCTTATTTTAGCAAATCTCATCCCGAGGGGTTACATTATATAGAGAATCGAATGTACATGAATTCTAAATGTAAACATACTGACGAAAAATCATAAAAAATATTAAAAATCTTTTGTCAATTCCTGATTGACAACCAAAAATAATCAACTCAACTTGAGGCTTACTACACTTTAAGAAAATGAAATATTTTAATATATATCAGATTTTAAAATAATTAATATTAAACAATAAAATTTGTGAAGATTGAATTCTCGATTCCGGTTTTTGTCAAAACAATTAATTAATTAAAGGTTCAGGGGAAGTGTAAAAGAAAAGACGGAATTCGGCAGAAGACGGAAATGGAAGGATTCTATCACTGGCAGTCCAGTAAGTTCAGAATTAGTAAATCTATTTTTGCCAAAGCATTGCAATGACATACAAAAATATTCAGAGTTTGAATTCAAAGTTCGAACGTAAAATGCCCCTTAGTCTTTTATTTTCTTTAAATAATTTTTAAAAAAATTCTATATAAGGAGTAATATAAAATCTATAAAAATTTTGGGATATGCAGATTTTGATCCGAACTGTGAACTTAATTGAAAATGGCAGTCCTAAGGGTTTATTTTAAAAATAGGCTCGACTGTATTTCACCGCCCAAAAATAAAAAAAAATTTCAAATACTCTAATGTCCATTAAACCCACCCATTTATTTGTAAGTATTTTTAGGGGCAGTCGGCCACATGATGAATAAAAAAAGAAAAAAAGGATGATAAAAGAAGAAAGAAAAAAATAAATACACAAATGAAAAAGAAAGAATAAAGGGGGGCAGTTTCCCAGGAATAGAAAGAAGTGGATATAAAGAAGAGAAAAGAAAATTACTTTTTTTTGTGGCCCAATTTAAAAAATGAGTGTGCAAAAAATAGAAAAAAAATTTTGCGGATTTGTATGCGGAAGTATAAAAAATTAGCAGGAAAATTATTGATTTACTTAATATATGTATAGTTTTTAATTAGAAAATAGGTAAAAGAAAAATAAAAAGGGGTACGAAATTCTCCGTATATTTTAATTAAATCTTTCTGCCTTATTTGTAAATAATTTTTGGGCTCTATTATCAGTGTTGTGTTGTGTCTTCATTAAGTATTTTTGAATGCCGCATTGACAGGCGGCAAAATGTGTAGGTGAAAATTGTATGTAACACATACTGATCCACTTATACGCACCTCACGTCAGAGAAAACTAATGTCAAGGTGGGAGTATTGAGAATTCGAAGGCGTAATGAGGCACAACATTACGGCACATGTGTTTATTAATTGAGTTATCCTCTTAATATAACTTAATTCATTAAATAATTTACAAGAGCTGGAAACCATTTTAGAAAGTGTTGAGAGGCTATTTCTGTTGTTGTATTTTTGGATGTCAACGAAATGTTCCGGCAATAAATTTGTTGTAAAACTAAGGGATTGTTTTGCGGTGCGATACAAGAAACGAGGTTGAGTGTACCTATGGTTTGGCCGGTTAAGTGTATCTATATTACAGTTCTGATGACAACTCACCAAAACTATTCACTTAACATTCAACTCAAAAACAATTTAAAAAAATAAAATTCGAAGCTTTAGAACAAAAAAACGCAGCAAAATAAAAAGAGCTAAAAAATAATTATATTGTTATTAATTTTGTGTAAATATCTATAATTAGATTTGTAAAAAAATCAATTAGAAATCAAAAAAAATTTGAGAAAATGTTAAAAATCGTTAAAAAAATTAAAAAGTAAGAAAATTAATTGTTAAAAATTTTGAAATTTTTGGAAAAAAATGAAAGGATCTTTGATAAAATTGGATTATTTAAAATGAGAAAAATTTTATACGGAACAAAGGGGAGCAGGTCAATGTACCGAAGAGGTAATCTTATGCCGTCAGTGGACATTTTCGTCAGAATTAGTTTCTTCAGAGGTCCTCGTCAGAGACCAGTCTCGTCAGAGGGCAGTTTCGTCAGAGATCAATTTCGTCAGAGGTCCTCTTCGTCAGCAAGGCTCCCTTTTTAAAAATCTAATTAAACGGTGGTATTATGATTTATACTAAGTTATTTGTTTCTGGATCGATTTGGACAAATGAGGTGTCATTCGAATAATCTCTAAAAACTGAGTCGAATTTGTTATGGAAGAATCTGATCCGACATTCCGGGACCGAATTACAGACTCCTGAATCATGACAAACCATAGGGAGGCTCATCTCGTCGAACTCGATGCAGCTCGTCGATCTGACTCGAGCGAGCTATCATTTGTATACTCAAATTTTTCACCCCAAAAATCAGTTTTTAGAGATTATTCGAATGACACCTCATTTGTCCAAATCGATCCAGAAACAAATAACTTAGTATAAATCATAATACCACCGTTTAATTAGATTTTTAAAAAGGGAGCCTTGCTGACGAAGAGGACCTCTGACGAAATTGATCTCTGACGAAACTGCCCTCTGACGAGACTGGTCTCTGACGAGAAGGACCTCTGACGAAACTAATTCTGACGAAAATGTCCTCTGACTAAACTAACCTCTGACGAGACTACCGGACACGCAAATTAAGGCATAAATTCTCCTCATACTTTATTACATTTATTTTGTTTATGTGGGGATTATTTTAAAGTTTTATTATCGCCACCTGCCAACGGTTCTGTATTTTTGGATGCCGCATTTTATGCCGGCAAAAGTAAACAAAATAGATTCAAAAAATCTGATTATTTCCACAGCCAGAAAAAATTTTTTGTTTCCTTTTAATATAATCTAATTCGTTAAATAATTTACAAAAGAAGCAATCTATTTATTTAGTTAGATATTCAACAAGAAAGCAATTGTCATTTTTTGGATGTCAAAGCAATGCTTTGATAAAAATTTTGGTTATTTCGAATACAAAATTTTCGTAATCGTGAATCGGGTCAACGCGATCCTACTCCTTATATTCTATCACATTTATTTCGTTTTATTTGGAAATAATAATTAACGTTCTACGTTTGGCGCATCGACGAAGCTGTTCTTTATTTTTGAATGCCGCATTAAATGCAGGCAAAAAATTTATAAGGAAAAATTCAAAAATTTTGTTGGTCATATTTAAAAGTATCGTAAAACTTGAGCTTATGTATTTATATTTTGGAACCGAATTTTGAACTGTAGATTAAGCAATAAAAATTAAAAAACAATAAGAAATACAAAAAATTAATTCAAAGTTGCAAAACTAAAATTAGAACAAAATAAAGAAAGCTAAAAAATAATTATATTGTTATTAATGTTGAGCAAATACCTAAAATTAGATTTGTAATAAATCTTATAAAATAATTAGGAAAAAATTTTTTGGCTTTTAAAATAAGTTTTGCCATGGATATAATATAAAATATTCCATTTAGAATATTATAAGTATATGCGCGTGATTATAAAGTTAAGTAACCTCGTCGTAGAGATTTATTTTTTTGGATGTTTGTGCAATGCACAGACAGAAATCACAAATTTGGTTAAAGGAAGTCGGTCCAAA